GCAGTATCGCCCTTTGCGAGTAAACTATTTATAACAACACGGGCGACTCAAACAGCGATATATAAAAATTGAAGGGTCATCTAGAAAAAGATAGAGAGAGAAGAAGATAGAAAGAGGGACAGATAAATAGAGATTTTGTCCTGCACGTAATTTAAGTTATACGATCTGGTTCCACACGGAAAAAAAGATTTGGCTGAATTAACCAAATATCTGGTTGAATATGAACGATCCAGAAACTCCGACTAAAGTAACCCGAATTTTGTTTAAGTTAACAAGATTTTTGGTAGACCAAAATTTTTTAACCAAACATGTCTGGTTATTTAACCAGATATGTTTCGTTAAATAACCAGACATGTTTGATTAGTCTACCAAAAATCTTGTTAACTTAAACTAAATTCGGGTTACTTTAGTCGAGTTACTTTCTGGATTGTTCATATTCGATCAGATATTTGGATAATTCAACCAAATCTTTTTTTTCCGTGCGCCAACGTCCTTAAACGTCGATTGAATCTTTAATCTGTGTTCAAGTCTTTGTTTGAAGACAGTTCAAACACAGATAAGTTACGTTAGTAAAATTAAGCATAAGGACCGATTTTTTTAATAGCAGTAGTTTTTTAATAACAGTTTTTAAACGTAGATCTAAGTTTAAATTCTATCTTAACACTGTGTTTGACGTATTTAAACAGAAATTAAACTCAAATCCAAATTTAACTTGTTGTTGGAAAAGCAACTCAAAAACTTTTTGATTTTTTCTACTTGAGTCGTTTGAGCGGCACGAAAGATAACTATGAGTTCGATTGAAAGTGTGATTTGCCTTTCGATTTTATTCTGTTACGACTTTCCGAATAGCGAGAATTAAAGTAGTGTGTTACACGTAAACGTCGTTCGATAACACGAATGTTTTATTCCGCTATCGATCTGATTACTGAAGCACGCCGATATTTCACATGCCGTATTCAGTTTACCGGTTTTCCCCGTAACATAATTGATCGACGTAACACTGTTAATTCGCCGCCTCGATATCAGCGCGGCGAGAGTTCACTATCGTAAAAAGAAATACCACGTGAGTCGCGTAATCTAATTTATTCTGTAAGACTATAAGAGATAAAACTGGTTGTGGTTCTTACCGCTCGTTACGTTAAACTCATAAAACAGTAGTCTGCGACTCTTTCACGCGTAGTTGTGAAACGGAAAAAAAAGAAAGAACGCGCTGTTAAACTAATTATGAGAGAGGTCAATGTGCGTTTGTGTCAATCATGGCTACTTTAATAATATTATAATCGAGTTGAAAGGGGCATTAATTCGCTCTATAAACTTATATCTATTCTCTCTAATCCAGTGATAAATATCGTGTCATGTATACGGCATATTCTATATTCTAATTACGAATATTGTCAACGTTTGATCATGACCCGCGCAACTGTTAGAAGTTACGGATAATATTTCGACGAACTTTAATTTATTAAATTGAAGGGGACAGTAAATGGCAAGACAACTAACGTGTTTGCTCTTGAGAAAGAGAGAGGAAGAGAGAGACAGAGAGAGAGAGAAAGAGAGAGAGAGAGAGAGAGATACGCCTATAATCTCCATATTTAAATCAATCAGAAGAAAACTTGAACCAATTCGTATGAACTGTTTATATACATTGCAACTCCCCCTCTTCTCGAGGCTCTAACAAAACTAATAAAATTATAACCTGATACATTAATCCTTTCGCCACTAATTTTGCTTTTTAAAGGTATCATTTTTCTATTTTTACTTCATTAAATATACTAATTAGTGTAGTTTTAACAAAAAAAAACTAAAAGTTTGGCGCCAAAAAGATAAAATTGGGACAAACTGATGTTCTACTGGAGGAAGGTATATTTATTCTAGCAATAACTAGAGTGATGTGTTCTGAGCGTCGAAACAACTGTTTGTTCAATTGAATAGGAAAAGCGGAGAAAACTTACGTTCCGAGATACATGTATGTCCCGTTGGTAGCGAAAGAGTTAAACAAGTCAAGTGCATCTCGCTCGCGCAGCCATGTCAAGTGCATCTCATTTAAAGCATGGATATGAGATACTCGCAGATGTATGAGCTCTTTAGCAGAGGCAATTAAATTAGAGTTCTACCGCGCATTCACGGTGACGCATCAATATTCGCGCGTCCAGGCGCACTGCATAGATTAATATCGCGAAAATTGCGTAACACGGCGTGCACAGTCACGTTCATCATTTACGTTTTTCAGGGTGTGACCTTTGTAAACAACGGGTCACTACAACGGATGTTACGTTACGTTGTTTAACGTTTGCGGTGACCGATATCGGCCAGCTAGCTCGGTTCAGTTCAGCTACGCAATTCTTCCCCAAAAAGCTTTCATATCTCGCGAGCCAGCTAATTTCGCGCGGAGTTAATTGAGTTTTCGAGCGGCTTGCAGCGGGACGAGCCGCGGATATTCAGCCGGCGTATGCGATTTGCTTTATCCCGCGGCAATATCGCGAAGAGAGAAAGAGAGAGAGCGGCGGACAAAGACAGTTTAATGAATAGCGATTCATTTATTCGACGTCGGCGTTGTAAATAGCGTTTCAACCGCCGCGCGTTCACATCCGTCGGGCTGATGAAGGCGACGCCGGTGTGCGGATAAAAATTGACATGTGATAAATCAGGAGAGCGACCAGCTAGCCAGCTCGTGCGCAGTGCACGTTTACGCCTGAGGTGCGCTTTCAATTAGGCCATCGATAAAATCGCGCAACCTGTTATCCCCTTAGCGGTACGCGCGCAGTACAAAAACGATGCGAGTGTGTACGTGCAGCGTGATAAATTAATACGTGCGTTCAGGAAAAACGCGCCGGTCGCGGCTGACGCTCTCCGGGTGATCGCGGAATCAGAATCGACAGCGGGACGGGTGTTTATTAAGTGTAGCGCGCGAGTTGCAATTTGCATTTCGCGCGTGTGTCGGGCACGTCTAATTGAATTCTCCAGCCGTGACCGGGAGGGATATCCCATCGGTGGCCGATTTCTTCTATTGGCAGCCGCCTAGATGATACCTCGGGAAGAAATGACGATGAGTTTAATGTGTTCGAACGGGAGAAGATTGAAGCGATGACTCGTACGGGAGCGCGTACGGGAAACACGATATGATGATTATATACGCTGTTGATTTGATTTATTCATCTTCTCCCCTCGGCGAGCTATTAAAGCTAGTGTCTCGGTCTTATATTAACAGCCGTTACTTACAAAACTTGTTCCGCATGATATACTTAGATCTGAATTCATATCGGATCTAAACTTTTCATTCGAATCATACATGTGCATTTGTAACTGTGTTACGACTATTAATACGGATCTTAGAGTTAGACGTAGTTAAATTTTTCAGCTATTACACAAAGTTAAATTTTTCATGTATTACACAATTCAACTGAAAGATTTGGATCCAACTTTGAGTAAAAATCTGAGTATCTTACATGAGACAAGCCTCAAGTGATAATTGTTAATACGAATCTAAGGTTCACTTAATAATCGTTATTTGAAATTTGGATTAAAATATGTGAAGTATTCAGATGCGAGTTTTTCGGTTGAATTGCATTGACGAAATGACGTCACGAATATAATACAATTCAGATAAATTGTTTCAAATGGAAAACTCTGATATAACTTGAAATTCAGATCTGAATATCTCACGTGAGACAAAATTCAACGACTATTAGTACAGACCTAAATTCAAATTATGCAGTGGTTATTTGCATAATTCAAATTTAGAAATTTAGGAACTGTACTAATAGTCGTCACTTGAAGTTTCTCTTACGTAAGGTACTCAGAACTAAATTTGGAATGAGATATATGTGAGTTGTTCAGTTAAATTGCAATTACAAATATAACGTCACGAATATCATATGATTCAAATGAAAAACTCTTATATAACTTGAAATTCGTATACAAGTATCTGAGATAAATCTCAAGTATCGATTAATCATTCAAGCGGCTCATTTGATACAAGTTTCAAGTGACGATTATTAATGCGGGTTTTGAGTATCGCGTATACGCTTCTTTGAAAGTGTGGTTCTTCTCAGTCATTCGTTCAACGTTTATCGACGTTTCAAGAGCGAATTGTTCACGCATGACAACACGTGGGTGCGCGTATTCCGCCGCGTGCATGCAATCGTCACATCCCTCGCGTGTGCTTTATCGTATGGGATAAAAAATAAAGTGAAAGTGTATGAAAAGAAAGGACACTCTCCATCTTGACCGCAACACGACGGCTATAAGTGAAAAGTCACATTTGACATTATCGGCCTACACAAAAAGCGCGTAATTTAGGTAAATGAGAATCGATATCTATTCCGGGATACGTGCTAAGTGCGCGCTTTGACAAATGGCAACGTATTATGGAAAATGTATATCGTGTACGACATGAGCGTCAGCGAGCGTTCATGTTTGCCAGATTGTTATCGCGCACGGACGTTTCATGATTAACTTCTTCGAGAACTCCGAAAATTTGCCTTAGGATACACTTCAATTTTAAGTAGCGCTCGCGCTCGCTCTATCGTGATTACCCTTGTGTGAACAAAGTTATTCGATTGTTTTCTAAGAAAGGAAAGAGAAAAAACGAATAGAAGAAAGAAGAAGACGAGGTGGTAATTCTCTCGCACACGCGATTTCTACATTGCTTCGATATATCTCTCGCGGCGAAAATAACGTTGCAAAAATACACGCAGACATTCGAGAATACGTCTTTAGAATAATTAATTCGCGTAGCGTATCGTAACCCCTCGTGGCTTCTTCGATGCGCTGAAAATCAACAGTCGCACTTCCCGAAGGTAAAAGACACCAAATCCATTCCGTGCAATCTCGGGTGCAAATATGAAGAGGAACAGGACAAACGATACTAAGCCAACAAGCCAACTATCGCCGTAACAGGGGACGTCGATCGTGACATTCCGCGGAACCGGATTCGCCGTTCCTGCGAGATGTGATTTAACGTTGGCCAGAAACGGCTTATTCCCGAGAAAGTTACTCACCCTCGAAGTAACGAAATCCTGAAGACGAACAGTCCCTTTGATGCCAACGGGAAGCCGGAATCCCGCGAGATGCACGTCGAGGAACGCGCGCGAGGGAGAAAATGAAAAGGGACGTGAGATCGACGCGACAATCCGATCACGGTTTCACTCGGCGTTTTTCCCGACGCACTCGCTGACTGGATGTCTTGCGACCCGCGAATGGAGGTCACTCGATCCGTTCGATTATCGGAGATCTCGCACTGTGCGCGCTACTCCATCCTGTCCTCGCTTGGATTTCCTCCGACCGTCCTCGCGAACGATAAAATTGCGTCCCTCGTCGCTCAAAATCGCATACACGATTTTCCACTATTACATATACGTTAAAGCCGCAAGCAGCGAGTGGGCTGACAAATGAAAAAGATACACTGACAAGAAAATCTTTGATGTTTGTAGCTATATAATCGCGTAGAGAAATAGTCACTATAAATTGTCGCCGAGAAAATCGTTGATTTATCAAATTCTACTGTAAAGTTAGTGATAACAACTTTATATGCATGTTAGCATTTTCGTGTTGCAAAACAAGCAAAAAATATAATGGGGTCAAAAGTAACTACAATTTTAGTTAGGTGAACTAACTTTTTCTCTGTGCGTACTGGAAAATTGCGGGTGCCGTAAAATTGAAAAAATTATTTTTCAACGTGTATTCGCGTATCCGCACGAAGGTTAATCAAAAAATCGTTGAGTACTCGGATCGTACGATTGGAGGGGAAAAGCGCGCGTATCTTCTGATAAAATTCGAGCCTGCATCTTTGAGCGATTTTTATGGTTGTAAATATGCAATGCATATCAACTCAACTTGGAAAGTTAATTACGCGGAATTTATGATTGCGTGGAAAATATTCCGAGAGGTCGTTAATTGCATCATGAATTAATTAATACACAGTCATCGCGTTCTCGCGCACCAGCAAAACTGTTATGCAAAGGTTTCTGTAATTTTGATCTCTCGCGAGCTTTTAGAGATTCTATCGTTAAATATAATCTATCTTCCCGCGTTTAAACAAAAGCAACTTAGACAAGAGAAAGTATATAACGTAGCATAACGTGCATGTGTATTCTGCGCGGCACTTCTTTTTACATCGCACTAATTATCAAGACGCAATCTTATTAACCTTCAACAAGGACATCGTACAAGGTCTTGAATCATACATGAACGCGAGCACAACGTTATATATCAACAACGCGATAAATGAGGTCAAATAGGTGGGTCAGAATATGACCTCGGTTCTTTGTGACGTAAGGACATTATCTTACTGACGAGCTAGTGTCTCAGCGAGACTAAAAACGTGATGTTTTTATTTAATTTATAATGTCCACAATTCAACGGACCGCGGCAAATCGTCTTTGAAAATCATAGACGGTGTAGTACAGTCGTCGTTACATAGTTTCAAAATCGACCTCTCTCCATTTTAATTCGTAATGAGGATAATAGCGAATCTCATTTGGAACTTAAATATTTACAAGGAAAACGCGACAGCATTAAAAGTTACAATGACGATATGTCGCGAATGAAGTTTTATAGTCGAAAATGCAACCGCGTTATTAGAGAATTTTCCAATAAATTTGGCCCGCAATTTGGATTCACATAGCGTGCACCTCGATTAAAATACGAATATAGTAATGAATATTTGAAGGAACAAGAATGCGTTTTCGCGAAGGAGAAAAACGTCGATTGGCCGATGAAAAATGAACGGCACTTCGATCGTGCAGCTTGTTGCGCATATAACAGGCAAATCTATCGTTCGATCGTTCGTGTTTCTCATATAATTCGGCGTAATTCCGTACGTTCCCGCGTAATAATCCAACGTGGTTCAGCGATTGCGTGATCAAGAAGGTATAATACAAGAATCTAAGAACAAAATTATACATTTGCACACAACATTTCAAAGGGAACAATTAAAAGGAGGTCATATTTCATAAAAGATTCAACGAGAACAGCGCGAGAAAGTGTATTCCAACGGAATGAAATTCGCGTGCAACGCGATCTCAAAAAAAGGTTCTCAAAGGCAGCTTCGACATAGTACGGATCCACGACGCAGATAAAATACAGTTCACTATGAAGAGCGTCATTTACCTCGCTACAACACTCGACAATTCGGCGCACTGAAAGCACCGAGGTCGTATCCCTTTGACTATCCTCGGAGCGCACTGGCATCGACAGAGAGTGAAACTAACGATGTTAACACGCGACGCGACGCGACTAGGTTCGTGAACGCGTCGAGAAAAAAGAAGAGGAAGAAAAAAGGTAAAAAAGAAAACAGAAAATTACCGGAGATTGCGGGAGTCGCGGATACGAAAGGCGAATGGGACAGTCGCTGGCAAGCAGCGCGATACGTCGCGACACCTCTTCAGTCCCCCAGGTCTGCTCTGATCGCACGGCGACCCGCGCGGATATTCGTTTTCAACGAGAAGCGCGCACCAACCGCGGCACACCACACACGATCCGGAAAGACGCGCGCGTAACGCCTGGTGCGAAGGAAGCGCAGCCACTGAGCGCTGGGGGTTGTCGCGCGGTAAGCGCCCTCGGCAGGGGCTGCTAACCGCAGGTCTGCCAGGGGTAGGTGGTGGTGGCCAGGGCCGGTTGCTGCTCGCCTTGGCCCTGTGGCACGAGCCGTCTCAGGCGGAGAGGGTGGAAAGCGAGGGAGTTCGCCGCGTTTTCGAGCAACAACGCCGACTATTCCCCGTTCCGCCGATGTTTCGCAATAAAGGCAACTTGCACGAGTTGTTACGCAACTTGTGCAGTTATGCAAGCGCGGAGCTCTGTCGCGTGTTTTCACTTTCTGAAAATGAGCATCTCCGCGCTTCCACGCCCGGATAGACTTTCGTGATTATCACGGCGCGAGGCAATCGATGATGGAAACTTTACGATTCTTTTAATTTGTGATATAAATATACAGTATTGAATGAATTATGCAGTTTACGATAATGTGAATGTGAATTTTGTTGTATTGACGCAGTAACAAATTTGCTAAAAGTTACACTTAGATTTTCATATTATTTACTCTATCATGATATGTTGTTTGGGGCAAATTTTGCCCATTTCTTTTCGTATTTTTTCATATTTCGTTAATTAATGTGAAACACTACAAAAATATGAATATAATCTGATAAGTTATGAGAGACTCAACGTTGCAAAATTTCGTGATTAATATATACTTAAAGTTGCTGTAAAAAATGCGGTCAAGCGTCCAAAGACATTTTCTCCAAAAACTTTGAATTTTTCAATTAATGATACAACTACGTCTTGTAGATTAAAAACAGAAAGTTTCGATATTATTCTCGTGGTCGATGGGGAGATAAACGATTCAAAATGTTGCAATCTGAATAGTATGTTGTTTGTTGAGATTGCAACGTTTTGGACCGTTTATTTCCCAAACGACTACGGAAATAATAATGAGTTTTTATATTCTTTTATATTTTTATATTCTTTTATATTTTTTTATATTCTTAATCTACTCGTTCTGCATTTAAAATCGGTATATTTTTTATTGAAACCTTCAGAATTTTACAAAATCCTATGGGAAAAAAGTAAGACTTGGTCGCACTTTTTATGCACATCAGTCTATCTTCGTCGTGTTAATGACGCATTAATGACGTCTCTAACGTCAATAGTACATCATTAATACATCGTTTGATGTCATCCTGCTCCTTGGAAGTATTTTAAAGCGTTTGTGTCACAGAAATATATAACGTTGCTATTTTTAGTAAAGTTAAAAAATAAAAATTCTAAATAAAAAAAATAAAAAAATTGCTCATGGTATCTTTCTTCGTTGAGAATATTACCTTCATGTTTCCTCGATTTGAAGGTCCGTTCTTTGAACATTTTATTGAGTTCAAATTTACAAGTTTTCTTGAAATAAAAATCAAGATTCATTGTACCAATAAAAATTGTATGAATCTCTTATTCGGGAATTGTTGTCAAAATCGGTGAAGTTGTCTCGTTACACGGAACCATTCGCCGAACTGTCTACCGCGTCCGGAACTTTTCGTAACTTTGTCCGAACGCAATCGCCCGTGTCCAAATGTTACGATAGAGCCGTCGATGGAAACGCCGAAAGTTTTCACATTCGCGGTCCCGTCCGCGGTTACGTGTCCAGCCGAAAATGCAGATGTATTCGGCAAAATCGCGTCGCAGTGTGACGGTCGCGACCGTGAAACTTTGATGAACTTGAATTTTCAACTTTGTAGTAAAATGTAAAAAAATCTCTGTCGAAGGGAAATAGTTGTTTTTACAATTTCACCAAACTTTTTATATCTTCTATAATATTCATTTCTGATCGTAGACGGCGAGCTAAAAATTGGTAAAATAACAATTGAAAAGTGACGAACTATCGTTTTTCCCGTGTTGGAGGGCTTTCATTTAAAAACAACATTGTTAAATTTAGGGCGATAACGAATTAAAATCGAAAGCTCAATTATCGCTCCGGCGAATTTTCGTTGCGGCATGATGTTGATTCGTGTGCGAAATTTCCGTGAGAATGAATATGCGAGCGGACGCGGGAGACAGGCGAACAGACAGACAATCATAATAATGCGCATTTCACACGCATCGGCGGTATATGGTAAAAAAAAAACGCCAAATTAGCTTCATTTGAATGCTGACGTCAATGCGTGCTTTTTTTTCGCGAAAACAAAAGTGCCGGCAACCGGGATGAAACAGGATGCGCCGTCACAGCAGGGACTCTACGGTAGTTTGGGATTAAAACTCGCTTCTGTATCAAATTGGTACGCAGTGAAAAAGTGTTGGTATAAGTTTCACGCTTCGCTGCGAGAGATGAATCGCCGGCTTGAAATCGTTTAATGTTATCATTTATCGGTGAGTTTCGCCTCTACTTTTCCCTTGTTAACGAAATAAACAACGGAGACAAACGCAAAATCAAGCTATCAGAGGGTCTTTCTCACGAAACGTTAGAGTAAATTGCGATTTAATCATTGCTGAATGGATAAGGACCTTTATTGACTACTGACGTTGTTGTTTCACGAAATATTCAGTCATGAAAATTACAGAATGTATTGCCCGTAAAATCTTTGCCAGAAATGTCAATGAAAATTAGAAATACATTAATATTTATATTTTTCATATAAAAACGCATTATATATATATATATATATATATATATATATATATATATATATA